TTCTAGGGTACATGGTTAGAATCTCGCTGGTGAGTGATTCAGGGAGTGAAAATGAAGGTCTCAATGATACACTCCAATCTTGACCTGCTCTTTGATACCCAGAACTAAGGTCATCTCGTCAGGACACATCTATTGCGCCTTCTTTTATGATAAGGAATGTGAGCGATTCAAACTAAGATAAGTTGAAGTGAATGCGCAATTTTGCATTGTTAATTAATGCATTTAACCAGATTGTACCGATAAGTGGACCCCACAAATACGTTTGATCCGAATCACCCCCAAAGTCTGTGATTCGAAACCCGGGGAGCGGTGGAATGAGACCCTCTGTCTACTTCATCTTTGCTGGAAGGTCTATCCTTCTTTATAGCAATAAAGGAAAAAAATTCCCAAAAGCCGCGACAACTATATATTCACTTGATTGACAGTCATGTTCAGCATTTACACTTAAATTTTAAGTTAAAGTGTTTGGTGAAGAGATACGAAGTTCGATCCCACGACTCATCGGATTATCCAGTGAGCCTTCTTGACTCGTTAGCTTAAGTATGGCTGTAAGTATGACACCTTGGTCTGATGATGTCCATCATATGACGGACGAAATCAGAAAGTTGCCAATAAATTATCAAACGACACATCCCAAACCTAAGCATCAAGAACTGGTTACGGCAGAATAGAAAGATGTATCGGAATCACAAGACGGTGCGATGAAGACACTCAACTAAATCGTATCAACTCAACAGCAGTCCCTTCTATTCACTGTTTTTACCAAATGAAATCGCTGTGAAACCATGATTTCCTCATATATCGGGGGAAGGAACACATTGCCATAATTATACCATATTTTAGACAGAAGATAGCTTGGATAAGGTTGTAATAATAATTCCTTGCTCTGATGATGTCTTTCATATGACGGGCGAAAGCTCAACACGTTTTCCCCGGGATAGAAAGAGATTTTCTCGGAAACAGCGTCAGTAAAAATGCTTAAGTAAAACTATTTTGCAGCTGGTCATGAGGAATTCGCCGTCGTCTTCTGGTGTGGTCGACCTCCGAATATCTTCACCAAAAACGTACACTCAAAATGGAAGTGAATTGAATAATTATAAGTCAGGAGATTCCTCGAAACCCATAATGCGCCAAAGAGAAATTGAGTTTAAATAACACGATTGTCTAGTTGAAATACCTTCAACTTCGTCGATAGCCTAAATCGGACTCGATACAACGATTCAAGTGAGGCGATTATGACAATCTTGCGCACAACGACCTGATTTTCAAATTTTGTTAACAATAATACTATCGGGAGGGAAAGTACTATCAATTCTATCTCATCGAAAAATAGGTATCATGTACAAAAACTGCCGAATTTTTCACTTAATTGTTCACTCTTAATTTGACGAATCAATCGAGCTAATATGATCAAAAAGGCGTTGAAAGGACATCACCAACAAGTGACCGACAATTTAAAAAAATTATTATATATGGCTAAAAAAAGTAATTGAGAAAATTGCACCAAATGAGCGAATATAAGTGGTTCCTAACAATGTCGTTCGTATATGAGTCGAGATTGCTGGCCGATCTGGTTGCCTCTTGTTCGAATTTTCTATCACAACGCTTGTGAAATCGGTTTCCAACAAGGCAGTAATATGATGCTATACTGCAATTTAGGAACGTTCGGATGTTGAGTCGAATTGAGCAACAACCATTTTAATGTGCACTTATCAAATATAGAAACAATAAAAAGGACAAAATTTTGGGTTCTCAAGCAAGAGGGTTTGGCATCTGTCTTGAAAGCCCAACTTACGCCTATGATCCGGCCCCGGAAGGTGCTGTTGACATTGCCCATCGTGTCACGAGACGGGTCGCTCGAACCGCCTAAGTAGAGGTTGCCACGAATGGGTATCAAGGGGACTCGACCGTCGATCGCTTTACCAATTTGGCCCCGATTGTCCAGGCTGATGGTCAACTGTACACAGACAGTGGCGAGAAAAGAGTTAACATGTTGGCAGAATGTGGGTTTTCACGTGTGATTTGGTGCGTGTATGTGTGTATTAGGGGACGCAAAAACGATGGCTTGTCATTGGTTGACCAAAAGTGGAGATTATGAATGAATTTTCGGCATGATTTGGGCAAATTAGGTCGAATGGATTTAAGCCATACTGGTTTGTGATTGTTGAGTGGGGAGGGTGGGAGAGGAATTGGATAGCAGGTTGGGAAGGAAACAGGAAAAGCGATGGTTTGGGCAAGGTGAGAATTTACCCAAATAAATAAATTTAACGAAAGATTTTGTATGAAATCAACTGACAAGTGAAACAGATTTGCACCATTCTGTGTTAAATAGGTGCCAAGCTGTCCTCTGTTAGGCGCAAGAGACATAACAGCCAACAACAAGCCAAAGAAGGCGGTTGGAGAATGTGGAGCCAGAAGATGAGGTGAAAGGATGGGGGTCAGAAGGTGGATGCAGGCTCTGTTGTGAGGCAAAGTAAGGCGTAAAGGCGGGTCGAGAAGGGAGCAAAGACCATCCAACAACTAAACATCCCCGAAGAGAAAGGAGAGGCCGACAAGGCAGATGTCATCAATGCATGAAGATGCTCAACGCTGAAAATGAGAATGAGGCAAATTTTAGCTGATCATGGTTTCAGAACTCATACAAATTTGTTTGTATTCTTTCAATAGACAACGTCAGAACTCGTCACCATATTTCTGAAGCATTCACAGACGAGGAGCAGCTATCAACATCAATACTATTATGTCATTATCATCATCGTGCCATTCAGCTATAAATAGTAGAGGAGTATTTATTTTTGTTGGTATTATAGTAATTGTATTTTCCAGCAACAACAGCAACACTATTACTATCACTAGCATAATCATGGCCATAATAATAATAATAATCGTTATTATCATTATTACTAATTTTATCATCGACGATATTATCAGTACCAACTTGCCTTTAAAAAGCAAGAGTAACATCAGTATAACCATTGGTAATAGGAGTGGTAATAATAGTATTACTACATAGAACAGCATCAATATCCAGACCAGCTTGATCGTGCTTTGAACACGAACATTATTAGCAAGTCTTGACTACCCCTCTCAGCATCATCATTTTGAGCGTAAAAATTGGCACCGGCATCATCGTTATAAATATTATCGTGCTTTCTATAAAATTATCAACATCCCAGTAATTATAGTAATTTCTGCCCAAAAGGCATCAGACTTACTACTTCCGGCATCATGATCATAATACTTGTCAGAATCATCAGTAGTATAATCGTCTACGTTAAGTTATAAATATCGTCATTAATGTAATCATTGTGCAATTTAACAAGCTAATCTTGTCCATCGCTATTACCACCACCAACCTTAGCATCGAAAGTTGCACCATAGCCAGCAGTGTCGTTAACATCCTCGTTATTATTATTACTATTTCTATTATTATAATTATAAATATTAGTATAAGCTTGACTCCATTGTCCTTTTT